TGGTGAGAGGCAGCTGAGCTCAGTGTGTCACGGCAGGGTGACAGGGTGCAGCTGAGTCAGGGCGAACTGTGGGCATGCCAGGGGGAGGGTCAGGGTCAGCAGCACCAACAGGCTGTAAGCACTTTTAATTCCCTTGAAACACCCCAGGATTAAACCCTGGCCCCTGCTGAAGTCCGTATGAAGTTTGCCGTGGGTTTCTGTGCAGCCAGTGGTGGTTCTCGGGTGATGCTGCTGGTGGATGTGTTAGGTGGCACGAGGGAGATACATGGGAATGTGTAGGTTTGCTCCTCTGGTGGGAGAAGGATAGTGAGGACACCCAGGGCTGCATGTCTCATGCTGCTCAGGTCTGTGTGTGAGGGAGGCACAGACGCGAAAGCTGTCATGTTCCCTCCTGTGGAATATAAGGAACTCAAATGCTATTGTTTATCGAACATCCTGACAAGGAGGAGGCGTCAGACCCTTCCCCTTTCCTTCCCACCCTCGGGGGACTGTGTGTGCGTGCCTGAGTGTCTCAGAGACTTCATGTGCGGGAGGCTGAGGAGTGTGGGTTTGGGATTAATTAGCCTGAGTTTAGCTGTTTTCATGCTTTACGTGCCTAAGGGCTACCCGCAGTCACAGCCAGGGGAGGAGTTTGCTGCTGCTGGCTCGAAATCCTCTCCAGGGGTGATCTTGTTCGTGTCAACCATGAGCAATTAGAGAGATTAACTGTCTTGTTTTCCTTTCTGCCCTAGATTGATTCTTGGGAGGCTCTGGGACATTTGAAAGTGATTTGGAGGGAGCAAAGTCTGTGTGTGATGGACACCAAACCCGAGGCAGCGTGTGTGGTGCAGCCAGCTCCCTGCCCAGGGATGAAGTGCTCTCCTTCAGAGGACTTTCCTCCTCAGATGAGGCTGTCTGAAAAGATACCACCAGTGAAGCCTTGCTTCAAGAAGAAGCAGCAAGCTCAGAAGAGACTGAATACAGAAACCCTCCGGGCTTTGAGGCCAATCTTTACCAGCTTGCTGGGAGCTGGGACCTTGGAGAGGGTCTTTGTGCCCCGAGGCCAAGGTGGTGGCCACAATGATTTATGTGAACCTGCTGTGAAAAAGACCCTGGACCTCAGTGCTTCTTGTCCCCAACCAGAGAATAATGTGTCTGTGCTGATGCCAACAGCTCCAGATGTGCAGGGTCAAGTGCCAGTAGCTCGTCCTTCTCCTGGGCATCCTGAGCAGGACATCCAGTCAGGAGAGCAAGGCTTCTCCCCAGAAACTCCTGGAACTGCTGCTGATAATGGTAATGAATCATTCCAGGATCATACTTTGCACCCGACTGCTAGTGATGGTGCAGCTTGTCCTTTGTTCCCTGACAAGATTCTGGAAGGCTACACATCTGGTTTATTCCAGGAGAACAACTGTCCAGTGCAATACAATTTGAACTCAAGCAATACATTCAGTGCTGGGATATTCCAGGGTAAAAGTGAAGAAGCTTCTCTTGACCTGGTGTTTGAGCTGTTGAACCAGCTGCAGTATCACACCCACCAGGAGGATGGGATAGAGATCTGTGTGGATTTCCTCCAGGGCATATGTGTTTATGGCAGTGATTGTCCCAAGCACCACACAGTGTTGCCATACCACTGGCAGGTGAGGAGAACAGCAACCCAGAGTTGGCAGAGTGTGACCAATGATGCCCAAGAGCACCTGGAGAGACTCTACTGCAACCCTGACAATGACAGGATCAAGCTCAAGTATCGGTAGGTAACTGGATTTACTCCCTGGCCTGGAAGGGTAGCAAAATGTAATGGAATGTGCCTTCTTTTTTCCTGATAGTCTATCCAAGTGTGTTATAAACCCTGGGGTGATGTTACCTGATTGATACCTGACAAGTGTCCCTCAACAGAAAGTTCTTGCACACCTATTAAACCTGTTCTTTAGCATCTGGAAAGTATTCCCTGAGGCTGAAAGACTTGAGAATGTGTGAAGTAAGAAAACTTCAGCTTTGTAGGAATTCAGAGACTGTTGTGGAATGTTGTGTTTGTTCTTGACATTCCTAATTAGACTTTTCTCTGTGTCAGAAAAAGGGGGAGCATGAAAGAGCCTTGGCAGCCATGGGGACAGGGATGACAGAGCAGTTGCTTTCTCTCACTGTGAATCCAGACTGACTGTGCACTCCCAGCACAATTTTCATCATTCCTTTCCAAGCAGCTCAAACCAGAGGGGAGTTCTGTGGAGTCCTTGGGGAATGTCATATCACTGATAATAAATGGGGATGTTTCAGCTGATTCCCTATGAACGAACTGAACAACACCAGCAGAAATGCTGATCATTTCTTTTAGTTGTCATCTCAGCTATTAAAGCAGTTATTAGAAGTTGATGTTTCCTCTGAACAGTTGTGTTTATCACCTCATTGTCCAAAATTAGCCACCAGCTGTCAGGTTGCTCTGGTTGTGTTACCAGTTTGGGCTCGACCCTGAGAGCTGAAACTTGTTCAACTTCTGTACTGCAGGTTCCACTTTGGGGAGCACTGGGTGATGTTTACAGGCTCAGCAGATCAGTGCAGGGTGTAGACTGCTTGTTTTGTATTTCAGGAGGAAGTGTACAGTGCAGATTGTGGCAGGGCAGATAAGACAGGAGGAGTTTGCTAGCCTGGTGCAACTCACTCCAGCTCAAAGTGACACTTGTGTAGTGAGAACTTCACACTGCCTTTGCCATCTGAGTCCTTGGGGGTTCATCTCAGCCTCTGTTCCCTTCCACTTCCTGAAGAAAGTCTATCCCTGCTTCCTTAATGGTTTAATTTTCATTTAATGTGTTGAGATTTTGCATTAGGTACCAGAGACCAAATCTAATGCTTAAAGTCAATGTTTGTCTTTACTTTCACTTAACTAGAAGTTGGAATAGGTACTAAATTCACCCTTTTTCATAGAATCATTGAATGGTTTGGGTTGGATGGACCTCAAAGCTCATCAAGTCCCACCCCCTGCCATGGGCAGGGACACTTTCCACTATTCCAGGTTGTTTCAAGCCTCATCCAACCTGACCTAGAACATTTCCAGGGATGGAGTTTCTCTGGGCAACTTTGCTGTATTTTACAACAGAGAAACTTTCATTTCCCCCAAGAATTTGAAATGATTCCTGCAAACAAAACAGCAAAGGCAAAATAAAACAAACCCAGTGAAGTGATTTAAATGTGCGCTGTGCAAATGAGCAAGAATTTTTCTGTTTGAAGCCTGTGTCACTGAATCCTTCCCGGCACATGAGCTGTGTGTTCTGAACAATGGACTGAGGCATGATTAATGGTAAAGGAAACAGTGCTTGGTTATGGCTTAGTCATCCCCAGCATGGGAAGTTGCTTTTGCACGTCCTGTGCAGGTTCCAGTCTGGTGGGGCTCATGGGACACATAGTTTCTGTCTGTCTGAACCAGTCAGGAAGAAAGTTGGTGGGTGTGTGCCAGCGTCATGAGGTTCTGTTAGTGGTAAAGGTGGAGGAGCAGTGTGGGCTTGGTGTGCTGAGCTGAGCTCAGCGTGATGCTGCCCTTGAAACAGGCAGTTCTGTGATGCAAGCCAGACTTGATCTTGTGGACTTGAGTGGGTGTCTGCCATACTGTAGGTTTAGATTGAGTATTAGGAAGAAATTCCTCCCTGTGAGGGTGCTGAGACGCTGGCACAGGCTGCCCAGAGCAGCTGTGGCTGCTCCATCCCTGGGAGTGTTCCAGGCCAGGCTGGATGGGGCTTGGAGCAACCTGGACTAGTGGGAGGTGTCCCTGCCCATGGCAGGGAGTGGGATGAGATGTGCTTTAAGGTCCTTCCAACCCAAACCCTTCCATGATTCTATGATGTGTTTTCTTCAGGTAAAAGTAGTCTACCAAGACTAAAACCATTTAAACATCAGTATTTTCTAACCAAACTGTTTCAAGCTGCTAATTCTGTAGCCTTCACTCTTCTTCCTTCTCTTAAAAGACCTTGTGAAGATCTTTGCTTCAGTCAGTGGTACCAAATCATGCCCCAGTGTAAGGTTGGAAAACTGTTCGAAATTTCTAATACCCAGTGTCATGTGACACTAAAGTGTCAGTTTCTGTAGCTCTGGTGTGTGTTTCACCCCTTGGAAGAGCTTCGTGTTTGGGGGTAAGTCAGTGAGAACCTAGGAGTGAGGCTCTAAGACTATAGCTTCTGATTGCAAACATTGAGTCGGATATGCCTTAAGATTTAGTCTTGCCATGGTTTTAAACCAGATTTGAAGCAGGAGGTGAATATTTTACTAAGTATCATCACCAGTTTCTTCTTAT